AGATGTAGCTTGCTTTTACTTTCTAACATCAACATCATCCCAAGTTGCCAATGTTAGATTAGGAGGAGATGTAACATCTCCCTTTCGGGGAGGGGTTCGTGTTTTGCTTTCATATTCCAAGAACCACTAGAACTTAATCATCTCAAAGAGCATGATCAGGGTTATGTGAAGACCCACACAGGGAAGTCTGAGAGTTGGTCTAATTTTTAGAACTACTCTCAACTGTCTCTAAGTTGAAGAACAACTCTCGACTGTTAGGAAGGTACCGGTCATTGGCTAACTGGCTGGGGCAGACTGGATTTCTTACACATGGACAGAGTGGCACCCACTGGACGTGCTCTCCTTACAGAGTGCATCCCCCAAGACGTGGAGGTTACGCCCTTGCCCTTGAGACCTGGCAGGTGCTTGTGACCATCCAGGCCACCACCATGTGGCGCAGTTAACTATGACCTCTGAGGCACGGTCACAAAGGGTCACATGGCTTCTGTGGGACTCTCTGCGCGGGGCTTGCGCTTGGAGCACAGAGCACCAGGCCCGAGCCCCACAGAGGGGCTGAGATTAACTGACGGGCGTGTGAGCAAGCTCTGGCCCGGCCATGACTGCAGGCGATCAGCCACCCTGGAGACGAAGCCTTGCTGCTCTATGCCGCTGAGTCCGGCACTCAGTGGACAGAACCCCCGAGTCGCAAGACGAGCACCTGCGATGTGGCCTAGCACCAGGCACCAGGACAGGCACCTCACGGTTCCCAGGAACACAGCGCTTCCCGGACTCAGCCCTTCTGGTGCTCACGGGGCCACACTGTGAGCCACCAGAGTGCTGGCAGAGCCCTCACGACAGTCCTCATCCTTTCAGGCTTATTTAGAAACCTAGGATTTGGCTGGATTTCCTTTTTCACCCCTTGGAACACAAAACGACACCTTCTCTGCTGGAAAATAAGGTTCCTAGTGTGCCCTCCTCTAACGTGGCCGCATTTCAGACCAGAGAGCTTAGACTGTGGCAGCGGGAAGCACAACCCCAGTGGGTGGACAGAGGCGTCCTGATGGTCTCCACCCCAAGAGGCTTCATATCCTGCTTCCCATCTGCAGGATGGAGGCTCTCTGGGCCACAGAGAAGATTTGTGTCTCTGGTGACACCAAAGTGACCCCAAAGTGGGGGACAATCCAATCCTACACTGACCCCAAAGCAGCAAAGTCTGTAACGCACAGAAGACAGTCGGATGCAAATAACAAGGCAGGAGGCTAAGACAACATGAGGACAATGTATCAATGACAAGGGACAAGGTGAGGACAATGTATCAAGGAGAGTGTGAGGACAAGGCTTTGAGGCTCCAGGAGGCTCTTTCTTGTGCTTCTGTGTCTGAAACCCACAGGGATAAGGTCAGATGTTCATCGACGTTTTCATATTCGCTGTAAAGTTTTCACGTTATAATTTTCTAAATTGAAGCATCACCACAAATCCGGTGTGGGAATAGAAAAAAAGAAGGAAAAAGGGAAGTGGGGATAGAAAAAAAAATGGAACAAGGATGGTTTTTCAGGTTTATCAATGAATAGAAGCCCTTCATTTTTGCTGACTGCAGAAAACTTGGAAGACCGCCGTCAGGACAAGGCCACGAGATGGATAAGGGTACTTATGTTAGGTTAATTAAACACGGAGGCCACGGGCTGGCTGGCTTGACCACCATGGTGCCTCCAGAAGCAAACCCAAATCTGAGCCTGTAGATGCCTCAAGGTTACAAAATCAAAATACTAAGGACACCCGCTCACAAAGAGCCTAGTAGGCTTTAAGCTACAGCCACCCAGGCCTTCCTCTCTCTGCTTCCACCTTTTCTCTAGAAGAGTCTCCCCAATTTCCTGCTGGTGGAGCCACTCCAAACCACTTCCCGTTTGGTGCTGCCAGGTGTGATTTTTGCTCAAATCCACTTCATATTTTTACTACGTCTCAGTTTGCCTTTTAACAACACAAAAGAAAAAAATAGTGAGAATAAGACATTCTCAGGAGAAAAAGTGTGTGGGGTTGGGGTGGGGAAAATGGCGTGGAGATGGGCTCAGGAGGCCCCTGTGCATTTGACCGTCTGCCTGGTGGTCCCTGAGGATGAAATCCCAGCTCACAGTTGTTTGGATGCCTGCAGTGCATCTTCTGGACTTCTAGAAAGCTCTATTGAGCTTTGCTCTCTCCCTTCTGAACCCCTCGGGGAAAAAATAGAGTCAGATGTGATTGTTTGGGTTCCAGAAAAGGGGAAAAAAACAACAAGAAACCCAGCTTCCAGTATTGAGCAGGGCTCTTGACAGCAGGGAGAGCTGTGCAGTCTCCTGTACTCCAAGCAGCGGCTCTCAGCGAGAGCTCACTGGGGCTTTGTAACCATGGTTTTTCAAGGCCCAACCACATAAAAATAGAATATTTATTTAAAAAATGAAGCCTGACAAATAAGCCACTGCTGTTGTTACTTGCAGTCAAAGTGCCGCAAGATTCCCATATCACAGGCCCAGGCGATGTGGGAAATGCGCCCCATGCATAACGAGGTCCCCGGGCACTGGCTGTCGGCCTCCTTCCCACCCCAGCATGGCTCTCACGGGTGCTCAGGGGAGGGCACCCAGGAACCTCAAGAGATGGTCCTCAGAGAGCCTTTCTTGGGTGTTAAAAGCTCCTCCTCCAGCTGGAGGGAGTATCTCGTATCCAAGGAGAACCCTGTGACCTTCCTTCTACCACCATCCCTGGACTGGCCCTTGCATGGGTGGAAGGACCACGCCCAGGGGTCTTTGCTTCATGACCTTGACTTGTAAATACTTGTGACCCGTGGGCCACATCTCTGACCTCTACTTTCATTTTTCTGTTGAGCCCCAGATTTGCAGGAAGAAAAGTAAGTGAGATTTCAAGAAAGACTTCAAGGGCTTAGAAAGGACCATATGAGGAATAATACATATATTCAGGTTTTATTGTTGCTAAGAGGTTAAATTAAACTAAAAAGGGTCCTGGCATCTACAGATATTTGCCACTTTCAAAGATGCCTTGCTAACCCTGAGGAATACTGGCTTCCCAGGATTAAAGAACATCTTGACTAATAGAGAACAGGGCTCTGCCACTTATCAGCTGTGATTCCTTGTCTCTGTTCTATAAACAAATCATAACCCAGAGACACTCCTGACAAAGCCTCTTGGAGCAGGTTTACAGCTTCTGAGCCTGAGTGGCTCAGTAGGTGAAGTGTCCGACTTCAGCCTAGGTCACCATCTCACAGTTCACGGGTTCGAGCCCTGCGTCAGGCTCTGTGCTGACAGCTCAGAGTCTAGACCCTGCTTCCGATTCCGTGTCCCTCCCCCCACCTCTGTCCCTCCCCTGCTGTGTTCTCTTTCTCAAAAATAAATATAAAAAAAAATTTTTTAAGAAATGGTCTGTGACCTGCACTTTTTTTTTTTTTGGTAACCTCATACCAGTTTCTTCCATATCCTGCTCTAAGGGTTTCAAGGCATAATTGTGTCAATCCCTTATTCCTTTTCTGTAGATTTCCTTTATTAAAAATGGTAAATTTCTTAAAGGTAGATTGATTTTAAAAGTACTTTGAAAAGCTTACCTTTGCTTTTTACCCAATAGTAAACCGTTTTTGCAATGTGGGTGTGATTTGTTTCACTTCTGGCAAAAATGTACTTTTTAGGCAACTCCATCGTTTCTATTATTGAATTTATTTTTTTATAGCCACCTTGTTATATAATTATATGTTGGTTGGTAATTGGGTAAAGCCTGTTGGAAGAGCTGCACTATGGTGTATTTCCCAATTAAATGTTAATAGTGTCAGGCTTTCTTCTAGGGTTGTAATTTCAGTGTTAAATTGTAGCCCAATTCTGTAGCTCTTTGCTGCTGCTGCTGCAGGCACAGACAGCGGAGAGAAGGAGATGGTGCAAAAACATTTACTCCTCTTCTTTGAAGAAAACCTCACTGCGGTGGCCTCAGCATTCTGCTTCCTCCCATGCAATTTGTTTGGTGGAGCGATGACCGGTAATGACCCTGCCAGCAGACAGCTATGCCCTCCATCGCAGTGGGCACACCCGGTCCCTGTACTCAGAGACCATATAATCTAGCCCTGATGGGGGCAGGTCTACTGTGCAGTTTTGGGTAGGTAGTGGGAGGGACAATGGGAACAGGATCAGAAGACATGGGTTCAAGCTGGTATGTGTCCCCGGGCAATTCCCTAAACAGTTTCTGTATCTGAAGACAACCCATAATCCCCGTTCTCCCTGTTCCACCGGACGGTGATGAAGTGAAATGGACGTAAATGTGTTTGGCAGTCACACATTCACTGTAAGGCGCTTTCAAGACAGAAGAGCCAGTAAACAGTTCTGTGTTACCTACCTGGGCAAGGATGTGTATGCCAAAGGGGGGGAGGGTGTTGTGGGGGAAGAAAAGGATTTTATAGGTGTCATGGGCTCCGGGTGGCTTTGAAAAATGAATCATAATAGGGAAGAGGCCCACAGGGCAAAGGTGGAGGGGACCAACAGAGCCGAGACGCCAGATGGGGACATGGTGGCAGGTGCTCTGGCCAAACCCTAGCGGCTCTGGAATTGGCTGGTGGCTGCAGACCCTAGAGCTCAGCAGAACACTGCTGAGCCAGGATGTGTTCGATAATTTTTTCGAATTCTAATAGAAACATTTTTAACTGTTAAGTATCATGCTCAGGTGAACCATTCTATGACATCACAATTGTTACATTTGGGTCAAGACAACAGGACTGGTCTAAGAGAGGCTAATTCCTTACCCAAGACAAGACGGCATGTGTTAGAAGTAGGATATGAGTCTCCAACACTGGATGTGAAAAACGCCACATGCCTTCTCTTGGTGAGAAAAGGTCGCTCCTCCACTCTGTTTCCCCCAAGAAATAAATGGAATGTGCTTATAAATAAGCTGAGCCCGAGGCAGATTGGCCACAAGAACGTGCCCAGCCTACTTGACAGAAGGCACCCGTCTAGGTTCCTTACATGACTTTTTCTTTCTTAGATACCACATACGATTCGATGAAGACAGAGAATCACACTTGGGTGAGTGAGTTCACTTTCCAGGGTTTCTCCAGCTTCCACGAGCACCAGCTTAGCCTGTTTCTTGTGTTTCTTGCACTGTACACTTTAACCCTGGCTGGCAACGTTGTCATCGTGACCATCATTAGTGTGGATCATCACCTGCACACGCCCATGTACTTCTTCCTGAGCATGCTTTCTGGTTCAGAGACTGTATATACACTCGTCATTATACCCAAAATGCTCTGTAACCTCGTCGGCCTGAGTCAGTTCATCTCTTTGGCTGGCTGTGCCACTCAGATGTTCTTCTTCATCACCTTGGCCATCAACAACTGCTTCCTGCTCACGGCAATGGGGTACGACCGCTACGTGGCCATCTGCAACCCCTTGAGGTACATGGTCATCATGAACAAGAGGGTGTGTGTCCAGCTGGTGGGGGGCGCCTGCAGCATTGGGCTGATAGTAGCCATGACGCAGGTGCTGGCTGTGTTCAGGTTGCCTTTCTGTGCTACGAAGGTGGCCCATTTCTTCTGTGACATCCGACCTGTGATGAAGCTCTCTTGCATCGACACCTCGGTCAATGAGATCCTGACTGTGATCATCAGTGTGCTGGTGATCCTGGTTCCCATGGGCCTGGTCTTCATCTCTTACATCCTCATCATCTCCACCATCTTCAAGATCCCCTCCACCCAGGGTCGGAAGAAGGCCTTCGCCACCTGTGCCTCCCACCTCACGGTGGTCATCATCCACTACGGCTGTGCCTCCATCGCCTACCTCAAGCCCAAGTCAGAGAACACCAGGGATCAGGACCAGCTGATCTCAGTGACCTATACCGTCATCACCCCCCTGCTGAACCCGGTGGTGTACACCCTGAGGAACAAAGAGGTCAAGGATGCTCTGCTCCACGCCACGGGCAGGAAGACTTCTTGACAAGATGGCCCACTTCGATGAGGGTTTTATAAGATTTGCTAAATATGGAAAGCAGAGAAGTGCCCACAGTATTGAGAGCTAAAATTCTAGGACCTACTACAGCAGTGGGTGGGTCAGAGAGCACAAAAACATTATAGATTCAGCCATTGGATAAAGGGACACATTTCCCTGGAGTATGGACATGGGTAGTGTGAGACTTCAACATGGAAGGAACTTCTGGGGAGTGGATGTGCTATGTGGGCAGAACGAGATCAGAACAGAAGGAGTGATTAATCCGGGAGGCTGCTTCAGGGCAGGGCTAACGTTTTAAATGTATTATGTAACACCCTTGTTTTGGACGTGGGGCTTCCCCTTTACCCACCTAGAGCTACACACATTTCAGCCCAATTTGAAGTAATTCCTTCCCAGGCAATTCAAGTTCCTTGCATCCTAGACACCGTAACTAAGTGGATCTCAGAGATCGGAGCATCCATAAAATTCATTAGGCTTGAATTCTGGATCTTTTCCATAGAAGTTCCAGGTTGGCCAGATGGGAAAACGGAAACCTGTTTTCATGATCATGTCAGAGAAACACTTTTGGAAAGTGATTAAAATCCCTTGATGATCCAGTTAAAGCTCTAGTACCAAGTAAGTCATATTGGCATCTATAATATGAGATGCATACAAAGGTTGGTGAGTGGAATGGGTGAGTGATTCCCCCATTAAGGAGAGATGGGCTTGCCTTGGGAGAGGCTTCTGTGGAATGATAGAAGTAATACATGCAGGGGAGTAAAGGAGAGCGTCTACAGAAGGGGTGAGTGGGAGAGGGTTGGGCGGTCCTTACATGGTAAGGACAATGTAGGCTTCTGATGACTTAGAAACAACCAAAGACACTCCAACCATCCATCCTACTATCAATTAAGACCCTCTAGGCCCTGAATTAATAGGACACTGGCCACTGGCCATCTCTGTTTCCAGCACCCCTGCCCTCAGCCTGTCCTCCACTCCATACAGCCCTCCACCCAACCACACCTAGAGACCGGTGGCTTCCCCTTTTCTATCCTCAAGCCATTCTACTGCATATTGGAAAGCTCTCACTGACACTCAGCAGGGCACGCTACTCATTTTGAAACCCCAAACCAAAGCCTCTCTCCTGTGGCCCTTCTGATGAAGTCACTCCATCTACTCCCTCACATCCCACTACTCTGTGCTCGTGCATTCACACATCACTACAGGGAACTCCTCCTTGGTGTCTTCACGGACAACCGTTTGAAATGGGCAGTGAGTGATGCAGCACCTAGGCACACAGCTCCACCTACTGCATCACGTCTCCGTCACGTCTCACTTGTACCAAGTGATGTGGTTTTCACAGACTGTCCTCCTTTATGTTAATTTAAAAATAATAGGGCTGTTTCCAGATATTTCATAAATAGCTTGTTAGGTCCATTCTTACACTGATTCAAACTATGGGCTCTTTGTTTTGTTTTGTTTTTAAAGTAATTTATGGAGAAATCCAAGAGAACCCAAAAATAAAAGTACCCTGCATTTGCCAATAGTCACTTTTACTAAGTGAATAAAAAGATGTTATTTTAGACTGGCTTCAAAAATGCTGTTCTATCTGTTCAACCTCCTGAAAAGATAATCTATAACTGCCAACTTAGCTACTTAAAAAGTTAGACGGTGGTTTGGGGAGGTCTGCTGAGTGAAGGGGCTAGAACATAGGCGCTGAAAGAGAAAGGCTCCATTTTGAGTCCTGTTGAACTTCTTACCATCTACATTTGGATGAATTCTTTAGCTTCACCAAGCCTCAGTTTCCTCATCTATAAAACATACCCGGGGCGCCTGGGTGGCTTAGTTGGTTAAACATCCGACTTTCGCTTAGGTCATGATCTCATGGTTCGTGGGTTCGAGCCCCGCGTCAGGCTCTGTGTTGACTGCCAGCTCAGAGCCTGGAGCCTGTTTCAGTCTGTGACTCCCTCTCTCTCTGACCCTCCCCTGCTCACACTGTCTCTCTCTCTCTCCTAGAACTAAATAAAACATTAAAAAAATAAATAAATAAAACATCCCCAAAGTTTCCTATGACGAACACGAGACAGTTAAGTGTGAAAGTGCTTTGTCAATGATGAAACAGACAATTTTTAAAATTTCTATTAGAGTAAGAAAACAGCAAAATCATCTCCATAAACTTCCAATTGTATCTACCAAACTCAGAGTACAAGCTCACCCATCCAAGATGGCCACCGCCTCAAAGATTTCAGAAGCTGCTCGCTTCTCTTTTCCCCATCCCTCTTATTTCCACCCCTGGCTTGAAAAGTCTCTTTCCTTGGTCGCCCTGGAGAATGAGAAGAGCAAGTTCACTTCTGGATGATCCTTCTGGCACACTGCAAGCAGGAATCTGAAACAGTGCCTCAGGAAACACCAAGAGCCAGAGAACTTGTGTTGTACTCGGTTTCCCCAGGCACATGGGCACCACCCTTCACTTCTCAACTGGTCTCTTTTGTTACAAAGAGCACAAAATCATAACACATTTGAATTGAAAAAACACCTGTACTCCTTCCCAGCTGTGGATCCTTATGGAAGTAATGGAATCTTTTCCTTATCTACAACATGGGACTATCAATGCCTGCTCTGTCTTTCCCATTAGACTGTTGTAAGAATCAACTATACTACAATAAACACAGTAGAACTTGCTGTGATAACCACCAGAAATGTTAATAAATATAGCATAGTATCATAATTATCCATATTATTAGCTAACATGATCCCTATGTTCTTACCATTGCAATTTTTCCTGGCCATTTCATATTATTTTACTAATTATTAAAAAATATTTTAGAGGGGAGTAAGGGGCAGAAAGAGAGAAAGAATCTTGAGCAGACTCCCCATTCAGTGAGGAGCCTGATGCAGGACTTGATCCCATGACCCAGGGATCATGACCCGAGCTGAAATCAAAAGCTAGTTGCTTGACCAACTGAGCCACCCAGGCACTGCGATCTCACTTTTGATTCCTACCTTTTTCCCACATATGCCTAACTTCTAATGCTATTGTATTCCTTATAAAGTGTGTAGGTCACACACGTGCAGTCCCTTAAAAAAAAATCCCCAAACTGTGCATCACTAACTTTTGTTAGCAATTCCAGCACTTACTGCCTATTCTCCTGTATTCCACCAAGTACCTTAGTTCAAGGGATTTCAAAGTCTTCACCATGACCCTCAATCAGAAATGAATGTTGTAACATAACCCAGTGTGGATGCATACGTCTGCAAATAGAAACAAAAAATTCACAGACCAGTATTTATCTTTACTCCTTACGGTGAATTCTGATGTTTTTCATTCCAATCTGTTTATTTTTTTTACATTAAAAAATTTTTGTTAATGTTATTTTTGAGAGACAGAGAATGATCAGGGGAGGGGCAAAGAAAGGGGGAGACACAGAATCCAAAGCAGGCTCCAGGCTCTGAGCTGCCAGCACACAGCCCAACGCAGGGCTCGAACCCACTAACCATGAGATAATGACGTGAGCCGAAGTCAGATGCTCAACCGACTGAGCCACCCAGGTGCCCCCATTCCAGTCTATTCTAATTCATTTTATTCAAATAATGTTAATGAACAGAGGTGCAGCTACACCATATTTTGATCAAATACTCAACAGTTGAAAGTTAAAACACTCAACTGAAGTTGATACTGAAGCCCAATACCGTTCATTAGACTATGTTCTTGGGCTAGTGACATTAAAAAGAAAAAAACAAAACTCAACAACCCTGGAATTTTATTACTAAATATTCAGTATTCATATTTAAATATTGGACATCTCAAATGAGAGACACTTAGGTAGCTGCTGGATGGCTGCGGCCATCACACGTGTGGGATGCCAGGTGAGTATTCACTTCTCATGTGAGAAACGGATTAGTAGAGAAGCAAAAAAGATCTTGAGGGAAATACCTTATTTTTTATGCAACACTTTTATTCACATTCTTCGTTAAATATGGATTAAAAATAATTTATCTTCCATATATGATTTTGGAGGCAAAATTAAAATCATACTGTAAACTCAGGACCTTAAATAGAATTAAACAGCTAAAAATACAGTGCTTCACAGTTCTTTTACTTTAAAAGTATATGGTTCACGAGGAGAGGATTCAGGGAGGCAGAGAAGTAGAGGGACCTAAGCTTGCCTCCCCCCTCAAACATAGCTAGGTAAATACCAAATTGATGAGGGAAACAAAGGCAAGAAAAATGTTGTTTAAATTAAATCCCCTTATAGCTGGCAGCCTACTGATACTTGCAGTGCCAAACATTCCTCAAGGAGTTTCTGGCTGCCTTAGTGCCTTGATGTTCACATGTCATTAAAATCCAAAAGCAACCTTATCTTGACAATAGCTAAATCTTCAGGGTCCTGTAAGACCTTAGTTTCAGCATCCAGAAATTCCTTAGATACCAACTCTTTCTCTAAGCCCTCCCCTCTCCCCACACTTAAAAGTATATGATCAGGTCATGCCTCACAATCCCAGTGCAGCCTTTTCTGCCTACGGGTTCTGTCTCCATGTTATGATAAAACCACCTTATGCACCAAAAACGTTTCAAGGATTCTTTCTTAGCCGTTTCCTCACAACCCCCACTTTAAATTTCATCGGAATCATTCTGAACAACTAAGGGATCGATCTGAGGACAGAACAAAACTGTACATCCACAAGTAGAAAATGACCATCTTGTGGAAAGCAAGAGCTGCAGAAGTTTGATTTGGGGGAGATGAGAACTGTGGGCACCGCAGAGGGGAGGGAGCCCTGCTTACAGAGACCGCCACAAGTTACCATACACAGCACACCATAAAATCTCAGGTTTTAGAAGTCCACCCTTGCTGGGGTCATGTCTGGCTTGGCGGTGCTTCTGTGGGGAAGGAGGTCAGAGATCTGGGGAGTGGGCACTATGGTCTGAAGATCCCCTGGGTCATATGGGGAGAAAGAGTTGCTCTGTTTGGAGTGCATTTGGGAGTGGTGGCAAGGCATCTCCAGGGACAAAA